ATTAATAATTTAAATTAATATTGATTAGTATTAATTAATATTTATTAGTAATTAATAATTAATAGTAATAAATAACAATTAATATTAATATGAGCTATAATTGAAAAAAGATGTAAAAAGTTTCTAAAACGCTACTCCAAGTAATATTTCAATGAGATAGCTTATAAGCTACTTTTCGACTATTCGAACATAACTTTTAATTTTCGTTATTATTTAAAAAAAATTATTTAAGGTATTACTTTTAAATTTAAGGAATTTTATTTATTTATGAATCTTTTTATCTAAGACATTATTTTAATGTTTTTATTTAATATGTATAAGATCATATGTCATGTGTAACAGAACACCGTTTATTATGTGTAAAATTATATGTGATTCTAAATGTTATTAATAATTTACAAAATCGTATGTGATGTTATGAATAACTTACATTTTTAATATCTAAATTTATATGATCAATATCACWTCTTATTTGATGAAAATTAATGATTTTTTAATTGAAAAAAATTTCGATTAATTATAGATATTACATATACTATTTTACGAAAATAGTAATTTTTTAAGCAAATTACTTAAGTAAAATTTTAATATTTTAAATGAAAAACTAAATCAAACTTATTTTAAAATGTTATGGAATAATAAAAATTTCAAATGAAAATTTAATCATGTTTGAATCATGGAAATTGTGAAAAGAATATTAAATAAAGTTACTTCTACAGAAATAAATAAATTTCCTTATATAAATCATATACAACAAATGAAAAAATTTCCTTTTTTTTATTTAAGGCATGATTTAAAAGAATAATTGGCAACTATCCATTCTTTTATTTTGTATTAATTAGGTTTTTATGATGTATACATAAATGGAAGGTTTAAATTTAGTTTTGTTGTTTTATTTGATGTTTACAATATGTTCAAAAGCTATACTAAATTTTATAGATTTAGATTGTATTCCTAAATTATAATAGTAAAAAATGTTTACAATATATTTGAGTTATATGTACATTTAATTGTACATGTATGTATGTTACGGAGAGAAGAAATATATGAGAGGAGAGAGAAGAGATGAGAGAGTTTTTAAAGTTTTGTAATATTATAATTTTTATTAATTTTTTATGGTCTAAATTAGATATCACGAATTAGAAGGGTATTAAAAGAAAACTCTTTCTTTATCAAATTAGAAAGTTATATATATATATATATATATATATATATATGGGCCTAATCAAATAAGAACTGATTAGTTTGTGGTAATTGTGAGTTCTAATTTCAACAATAAATCAACAGAAAAATTAGAAAATTAATAATTATGGTAGTTTGAGTTAAAATTATAATTAATATTAATGTGTATAGACATTAATATTAATGAATTGTGATGTGGGTTTGATGGAGTGAATCGTGTTACGAACATAAGGTTATTGATGAAGGTTTTCAAATTAATGAAAGAACCAGCAAAAACCCTAAATTAGAAAATTATAAATACCTAGAAGGGAGGAGGAGCAACCCATGGCGTACGGTACAACAACTATTCTTGTAGATTTCTGTTTATAGAGGTCATTTGTGATGTGGGTTTGATGGAGTGAATCGTGTTATTGATGATTTTGGTCTGGAGTAGTTGGTTCTTTTTTATGTTATTTGAGCTTTGGAAAAGCTATATGCAGGGAAGACAAAGATGAGTGGTAGATGGTGGTGGTAGAAATTGAGGGAAAGGGTGGGTTCACCAAGGGAGAAGGGGAAGGGAAAGGGCAGGGACGGAGGTGGGTTTATCATGGTTCAATGCTGATGGGAGGGGGAGGTGGGTTTATCAAGAGGAGAAAGAAGAAGAGGAAGAAGATTTGTTTTGCAAAAATAAGGTTATCCAAATGTATATTTTTTTGCACAAATTTTATATCAATTGGTTTGTTTTGATTTCAACCACGTTACTGACTTCAAAGCTCCATCACGTTTTAATGCATCCATCATCTTCTTTCAAACTTTGATCTTTTTCTTCTAACATGAGATGATAAAAGTCAACCTTTTTTCAGATTTGAAGAACACTCAAATCTCATGTTGCCAAGTCATCATCCTTGATTTCACTTTTATATTTGCACTATAATTTTTTTGATTTGGTTGGTTTCAATTCCAACCATGGTTGTAGATTTAAAATGGGGTCATCTAAAATAAGACAACGTTATAAGACAAACTACATGATTTGACAAAAATACATCCAATCCACATTTTTTATACAGTTCATTTTGTTCAAATCTTTCAAATATTCATCAATGTGGGACAACTAAGACTCGATCACAATTCACCATTTGAATATACTTAATTCTCATGTTGTCATCCCAATACCACAAGGTTTTACTTATTACTTATATATATATATAAAAGATAAAATTAATTTTGCACTATAGCTGTTATCATTTGCTTGGTTCTGATTCCAACTATAGTTATATATTTCAAAGAGGATCATCCAAAATAAGATAACACTATATATAAGTCAAACCCCATGATTTGACAAAAAGACATTCAATCCACCTTTTTTATATATTTTATTTTGTTCATATCTTTTAACTATTCATCAATATGGAACAACTACATCATTTACCTTTTGTTGTATATATATGTTGTTTTGGAAAAAAAAATATGGTGGCTACAAGTTATATTTCACCATCCCAAACTTTTCAAATTTCAATTCATAGTTGTAAAACTTCTTTTTTCTCTTTATTAATATGAAATAATCAACTTTGCACCATAATCCAATATTTGAGAAAATTTTGAACTTATTTTGAAAAAATGGAGGCTAAAAGTCATATTTACCCAACCCAAACTTTTTAAATTTCAATTTACATCTTCTCCTTATGTACTTATAAAATTGTGAAAATTTTCTTTTTTCTATCAATATGAAACAACTTAAACTTAACCACAGTTCACTATTGAAAATACTCAATTCTCATGTTGCCATCTCAATACTTCAAAGGTTTTCTCATATATATATATATATATATATATTTATAAGGCCTCTCAACCTCTTTCATATACATACCATTTATTGTCAATCTTTTATATCTCCATCATATGAGATAGATAAAACTGAACCACAATTCAAGTGAAGATTACTCAATTATTCGGATGCAACATCAATGTTATGTTTTTTTTTTACTTTTATATTTAAATTTGTTTTTAAATTCATGTTTTGCATCATATTTCAATTATGTCTTTTGCACTGTCATTTTACCATTTGGTTAGTTTCCAACCGTGGTTATAGATTTTAAAACAATTATCAGTCCTTTATATATCATTCATTTTCTTCAAAACTATCATCTTTATACCCACATGAGATGATGGAACTCAACTTTATTCAAAATAATTGGGTATTTTGTAAAGGAATAATTTGTTTTAACTTTGTGTATTGTATGATATTTTAATTGTGTTTTTTGCACTATACTTTTGTAATTTGGTTGGTTTTGATTTTATCCATGGTTATAGATTTCAAAGCATCCGCAACGCTTTTATATATCCATCATTTTCATCCAATCTATCATCTTTTCATCGATGGGAGATAAAACTTTATTGCAAGATTTGATAAATACTCAAACCTCATGTTGTCAAGTCATCATCCTTGGTTTCACTTTTAATTTTGACTGGTTTATTTTTCAAACCATGGTTATAGATTTCAAATAGAATTATCCAAAATAAGACAACGAATCAAACCCCATGAATACAAAGGCAACCAATTCATCTTTCTTATATACACCGATTTGTTCAAATCTTTTAACTTTTCATCATTATGGGACAATTAAGACTCAACCACAATAATGCATACATAGCCAAAAGTAAAACATCATGTAGACTATTTGCATCAAGAAGCATTGGTCCTATCTACCCATCATGTACATTGAATCCATATACAAACAATACATAGTCTTCATTCTTTCTACTATCGGTCTTCAATCCTTTTGTCGCTTCCTTTCGTTTCTTCCGCCAAGTTGTTGCAATTATATCGAGATTCTTGTGAAGATATTGTGATAACTCCATGTTCTAACTTTTGTTGCAGCATCCCATACTTTACATTGATGGGCTTGAAGTCCATCACGCTTCAATTTGCAGGAATGAAGAGTGCCAAATGTGACTTCCAATACAAAAAAAAAAGGACCTTCAAAGGAGCTTTTGTTTTGTACTTAAAAGTTTCAAAAGCTTTATGTAAAGGCTTTAGAGAAACTTTTCAATTCCGTCAAAGAACTTTTCTATATAAGGGTAGGTAAAGGCTTTCGAGAGGGATTCGAGAGGGTGTGTGTTTGTTAACTTTTAGAGACGGTTTTTTGAGGCTTTAGATACGCTTTAAAAGCTTCTCTAGACTACTACCCAAATGGCCATAATCACCACCATTACTACTACCATGTTCTGTTGAAGAGAGGGATGATATGTACTCTTTGTTCCCAGAAATCCCGCAGAGATGCAGCAACAGAAACTCCAGAGAATTTCTCTCCAAATTCAACACCCGCGAGGCCTAAGATTTCAAAATTCATAACAAGTCAAGTGATCCAAAATATAATGTGTTCCAATTTTTTTTAATTTCAAACTGAAATAAGCCGAAAATTAGAGTTGAGAAATGTAACCTGTCCAGTGTCAAACATATATGCCGAAATCTCGTTGCAGCCACAAAATATCCTTATCTGCTCCGTGCATAACCTGATAACTTATATCGTTATAACGAGTGAACATTTGGCATAAAATGAGTCATATTTTCTATGAAGAAGGCTTACCTTTTTCTTGGTAGGATCCTTAAAAATCTTGGGCAGATATGGACCAATATGAACCCGAAGTTTCAGTGTATCAACAATGAAGTCTTCGGTTCTTGTAGATATTTGCAATAAAGAATCTGCATCATATAAACAATTTGCCATTAGAAAAGGCATTGTTAATTTCTTTATCAACAAAAGGAACTATTGAAATTGATAGATACGCAGGTTTCGGCAGGCGGCAGCTGTTCTTTCAGCACCACCAATGTGTGCAACCATCCGGCAATTTTGGGAAGTTCCTTTTGCAAGCACTGGAAAAACTTATTAACAAAGAGACCCTCCTCCTCTGTGGATTAAGACGAAAATTTTAGTCAAGGACATGCTAATAGGTAATCTCAAACTCCAAAACTAAAAGCAATAATTAGACAAACAAGTAACAGATACATATATGACACCAATTATATAAAAAAAATAGTTTTGCAGAGACAAGCAATGGGCTAAATTATTCACCTTTACAGATATCTGTAATGAAACAGGTGAGATTAGCTACAACTTTGATTAATAAAGTTGTTTTTGAAGTGCATTGATGGGCTTGAAGTCTATCACATTCGGTAATTGCTTTCAAGTCCATCATATGTTCAGAAGCTTCTGCATCATCAGTGATGTTCTCATTGGTGGTGTTGGCCTGCAAAACAAAAAAAGGAGCGATTAAGAGGGTTTTGGAATGAGTCAGGGGATTTCAAAAAATAGCAAAGCTTACTAGAGCTCTGAACGATTCAGAGGTTTCTTGAGAAATGCTATGAACATTGACGTTGTACAATCCATTTTTGGCTACATCACCACAATCATAAACCTGCAGCAAGAAATGTAGAGGATTGAATAAACAGAAACATTCAAGCCCTAGAAATGAACAACTCATGTTGAAGATATTAAAATATTGGGACAACACGGTTGTAGTTCAAAATTTTACATTTTACTCGTACAAATAACAAACAGCATATCAAGGATTTTAAAACATCTATAGCACCAAAAGTTCAGCAAAACCTTTAATTTGGTGTTCGAATCCGAAGATTATAACTTAAAATCATTTTAAGAAACGTCATTAGATCGCGTGTATATATTTTGCAATCTAAATCGATTCAAAGAACCAAAGAATGAAAATCCGGATAAAGCGAATTTAAGAGCTATCTATCGCAAAAGGGTTTAGAATCAAATMCGCAAAAGATTTTGGAAATAATGTGATTAGATCGAGCATAATTCATTTGCAATCTTGCTACTTGCTAAATCGATTCAAAGAAAGAAAATCTGCAAGCAGCGAAAGTRATCCTACTCGGATCGACCACAAAAAATTAGATTAAAGAACGAATCGCTTACGATGTATCGTATATATTTTGCAATCTAAATCGATTCAAAGAACCAAAGAATGAAAATCWGTACAACACGAAATGAAATCCACAAGAACCAGAAAGAACAACCGGGGGCTTCAAATCGGTTTATAATGAAATCCGCAAACGATTTTGAAAATGAAATTTGCTTAGATGGAGCATAAATCATTTGCAATCTAAATAGATCGATTCAAAGCTGCAAACAGCACCTTGAAAACTAGATGGCAGAAGGAATTGCTTACGATGATAGGGAAATGTGAAAGGTGGGTGTTTGTTGGAAGATCCATGGATGAAAGAGTGATGCGATGAAAGTCGATSAAGGATTGGTTATAAATAGTGGGATTGGGATCCATTTAGGGTTTTTGACCTACTCATTGACACGTAAGATTAGGTTAAAAAAATAATATCTGATTTTACATATTTTTTTAATTAGAACCCAAAAGAATCGGTTTAAAAAAATAAAACTTTTATAATTATTTATTTTGGAACAATTAAAAAAAATTTAAAATTGGTGATATTCCGAAAATTCATCTATTAATCAAACAACATTTTTGTAATAATTATCACAATGAATATATCCTTTTCCATATATATCTAATGAAATAAGAATACCAGTGTTGTCTTGCACTCCGAGTTGACTAGGTTTTGTTAAAATTGAATTAGATATGAATTATGTCTTAATATCAATTTCTGGTTTATGTTTGTTACTCTAAGACTCTTGTTTTTGAAATATTATTTGACCTCTTTACTAAAACGATACTTATATATGATATAATGTTACTTGTATTCGGATTGTAATTACTATCAACATGTGTTTGCATTATAGCAATTAGATTTAATGGATTCTTTTCGACTTAATGAATTGGTTTTGCAATCAATGTAGTTTCTCTCCAATTCCAAACCCTCACATTTGACCAAAAGATGGATCATGGAAATTATAGGAACCAATTAATTAAAGCCAACTACGTAATGACTTGGATCAAGTGTATGTTTTAGATTAAGAGTCCCAATGATTGAACATATATCGTATTTATATAACAATGATCATCTGGATCAAGGAAGTGGGTTATAAACAACCAACGTTGTGACCATCAAGGTTGGTCTTTACGAGGTCCTTCATACGTTGAGGACAAACTATTTTTTTAGTAAATASTTTTGGTCCTTTATATGTTGTAAACAAACTGAATTGTAACAAATGAATCTAGGCTCTTGTTGTTTTGGTAGATGTTTTACGATACATATAAACGAAACTGCATTATGTACAGAACAATAGCATATTCTTAGTTTTTTTTTTAAATACAGATTCAACGACGGATCAGCTACGATTTGGAAAATCAAATCTTTTGATAATCCCTAGCTAATCTATAGCTAATCYGCGACGAATCCCTTCTCTAGCTAATCAGTAGCAAATATGTTTCCTAGTTAATCCGTAGATACTCCAATCCCTAAATAATCTATAGAAGGTAAGTTCCCGCTTAATATGTTCCCTACCTAATTCGTAGCAAATATATATGTTCCCTAGCTAATCCATAGATACTTCATTCCCTAGCTAATCTGTAGCGAATACGTTCCCGCTTAATATGTTCCCTACCTAATATGTAGCAAATACGTTCCCTAGTTAATTTGTAGCTAACACGCACCCGAGCTAATCTGTTGCAAACGTCTTTCCTAACTAATCCGATGTTATAATATGGTCTTATGTGATTTTGAAAAARTGATGATATTTTTATTTTTGAATAAAATATAAATTTGAAGATATCATAAAAATCTAACAAAAATATATCAATATTAGTATCAAATTAACTATTTAAAATTCATCATTTTTTGTGCAATTTTTTAATAATAAATTTAATTGAAGTTTCATACCAAAGTAATTTTTATTTCGTTTAATAATATAATTTTCTTATAAAAATAATAGTTAATTATTTTATTAGAACTCGATAATTATCCGAATTATATTTTAGATTTTTTATATTTTAAAATGAGATGTTTATCCTCTATTTCATTATGTTTATTAATAGTTAGCTATACGAATTCAAACATAGAGCTTTAATAAGTTGTATTTATGCATAATTTATATGTAATATTCAATTTTAAGTAATATGTATCAATATACAGTACTTCATGCATAAAAAATAGTTTTTAACAGTTTTTTTGTCAAATGTTTTATAATATAGTATAGATATTTATATAAGCTTATTTTTTCAATTTTCACGATTTAAGAATAATTAATTTTTATTTTTTTTGACGCTTACAATTTTTTTCCATTTAAAATGTTTATTTTTTATTGAAATAATTTATTTAAGAGTTCTTTTACAATTTTAGTCAATCAAATCAAATATCCGCAATTAATTGATGTTTTTTCTAAAAAAAATTGTTAATTTTCGCCAAAGATCGGATGTGATATTGATTATAGTAATATAAGTGGAAACAAATATAAATTATCCACAACATTACATATGATATTTGTAAATTATAAATTAGGTGTTGGATAACACGTGATCTTACACACATTAAATGTGATTCTGTTTCATAATTTTTCCTTTTTGGTGTTAAATTTGAATTATTGTTTTTTACGCTTTAAATCACATATGATTAAGAAAAAATGATTTTTTTTTTATTAATTGTGAATCACATATGATTTTGACGAAGATTGCAACTTTTTCTAAACATTGTCTTGAATAAAAAAATTAAATTTTTCAAACGAAAATTAAATTACTCTTGTATTAAATGACTTAAATAGAAAAAAAGTTAAAAAAGAAATTAAATTGCATTAAAATCCCAAAAATAATAAAAGAATTATTTTTAAATAAATGCCTTAAATAATTATTTTATAAATAATTTTTATGTCTTTATTTATTTATTTATTTTTTGGGAACTTTTTATTTAAGGCAATATTTACTGAGTTCTATGATTTATATATGGAAATTCATTTATTTCTGTAGAAGTTATTTAATGTATTTAGTTAAGAATCTTTATTTAATATTATTTTCACAAAAATTTCTATGATTCAAGCATGACTAAATTTTCATTTAAAATTTTGATTATTCGATGACATTTTAAAATAATTTTGATTTAATTTTTCATTTAAAATATTAATCTTTTCACTTAAGTAATTTGCTTAAAAAGTACTATTTTCATAAATTAGTATATGTAATATCTATAATTAATCGAATTTTTTTCCAATTAAAAATCATTAATTTTCATCAAATAAGAAGTGATATTGATCATATAAATTTAGATATTAAAAATGTAAGTTATTCATAATATCGTATACGATTTTCTAAATTATGAATAACATTTTGAATCACATATGAGCTTACACATATTAAACATGTTCTGTTACACATGATATATGATCTTATGCATATNTTAAAAATCATTAATTTTCATCAAATAAGAAGTGATATTGATCATATAAATTTAGATATTAAAAATGTAAGTTATTCATAATATCGTATACGATTAGTATATGTAATATATATAATTAATCGAATTTTTTTCCAATTAAAAATCATTAATTTTCATCAAATAAGAAGTGATATTGATCATATAAATTTAGATTTAAAAAATGTAAGTTATTCATAATATCATATACGATTTTGTAAATTATGAATAACGTTTTGAATCACATATGATCTTACACATATTAAACATGTTCTGTTACACATGATGTATGATCTTATGCATATTAAATAAAATAAATAACATCTTAGATAAAAAGATTCATAAATAAATAAAAATTCCTT